TATTCGAGGAAACTGGCAAAACCTTCATAGAAGTATAATACATGTAAATATACATGCGCCAGTTTACCAACATTCAAGACACAAACATATATTCAAAATTAAAATAACAAAACACGAACGAGTATCGTTCGGGCGTCAAACTTGTGTAGCATAAACATTCGGTGGGTTCCAATTAATAAATACATTTTTATAGAATGGAATGCATGACTATGATATGTGTATTACAACAGTGCTTTCCCTACAAAAATATGGAATAAAAAACACTCGTTGGCGTAAAATGGTGATGCTGTAGTTCAATTTCAATGCAAAAATGTACAAACATTGATTGGGGTATCGGGTTCTTTTGTCGTTTTCGATTAGTTCAATTTAAAATTATTGTATCCGTCCCAATGCTTCCAACATTAATATGTATCAAATTTCCACGAACGACCACCATTCCAACAGGTATATAGTTTCAGATGATTTTGATACTATTTACATACACAGGATGGAAAGATCTATAGGATGTTTCCCCGACCTTTGACCCCAGACAAATTCTCCCTATTCTTTACTATTGCAAAATTTTGGCTACGTATTTCGCGAGTGTTTCAGGGAGTTAACAATTACAAACTGATTTACATGCTCGAAACCATTATTTTTATTAAAATATACAACCACGTACCGCTTACACGCTCATTTGAGCATAGTCTATCGAAGCTTTCCCGGGACTTATTTTTGGTTATTGTAACTAAACTAAAGCTTGTCGGAAGACATAATGACAATTACAATACTTCATTTACAACTAATTTTCAGAAACACAACCAAAAACTAACGAATAACACGCGAATCCAAAAACATGGCTTGTTTAGAGCCATGCTTGAATATATGTCTGAGCAAACGAAGTGTCTGAGCGGCTTCAAAAAATTTAATTGTACGTCATCGTTGACAATTTGCTGATTGATCATTGTTACGTAAATAAACAGCGAAAACGATGCTCGGGGAAACATCCACCCATTGCCGTACTGGTATAGATATGCGACATGTGTATCCATATTTTTGATTCATTCATTGCTCTTGTATTTAATTATTAATGTATTTGAAGTTTCGTTTATTTAATGAAATAAATTTTCTGAAATGTCCGGACCCCAGTAATTTTAAAGTTTTGTAAACGGACCTTTGATGAAAATAGTTGAGTAGCCCTGGATTAGGGTATATTTTATCAGAATCTGAGGAAATGTGAAGTATTCCCTAGGAATGAATAGAAAGGTATAGCGCACGGCAATTTACTGCGTTTCGTCTTTCTGGCTGTGGTAGCAACCTTCACATGTCGCGGAGCTTTCAAGACAGAATTTACTGTGTTTTTTCTTTTATTCCTAATGTGGATAATAAAGAAGCATGACGTCGCAACAATTTCAAAATGAGATGTTTTATAAATTAAGAAACAGTTAAGCAGGGATCAAACGGTCAGTTGGCACAAGAGACAGAGAAGATCAAATTGATGAACCGTCTTCGGGTCTTATTATTCCTCCATCCCGGTCAGAAATTTGGTTTGCAAATTCACTCCTTTGAATTATCTTATGCGTCTTGTCGCTATGATTGCATAATAACGCATTTTTTTGATAAAAGTGAACGAAGTAATATGAACTACAAATTCAAAACGGGATATCACGGGCATGAATACACATGCTTCGAATTAGAGCTAAGATCTGAAGTCCGAGTCCGATCGGGTCGGACCTTAAATGTCAATCATTACGTTCGGGTCGGGTCGGGTTTTTCTCCATCACTGACTTTTCTTTTAAATGAGTCGTTTCGGCCGTGTTTTGGCCACGAGAGACCGTGGTCTGCAAAAAAACATTGCCTCATCAACACGACACATACTGCACTAAACTATTGCAATGACAATTCAATGAGCTCCTAAATAAAATATGAAATTTCGGGTTTGCTTCGGGCTCGGGCAAATCCAGTTAATTAGTCGGGCTCCGGTCGGGTTAAATACCCACGGGCCTGGGTCTGGAATTTCTGGGCCCGATCTTACCTCTACTTCAAATCAACGCAGTATGTTCAATGTGATTTTTTCGGGATAGTCTAGTCGAGAGCTGCCAAGCGTGACGTCGTTAATTAAGTAAGATTCTAATCAACAAGATCCTCGTCAGTAGAGGTGGCGCAGGGAAAGCGTAGGGACATGGTCAAACATCAGTCCAGGGGTTCGAATCCCACGAGGTAGTAGGTTGAGTTATAGGGATGGGAGGAGAGACCAAGGTAGATAAGCAAGCAAATGGGCGAGGAAGAAAAATGCAGCGGGGAAAAGGAGCCGGCGAGCAAGTGAGACCAGCCAACAGTGCGATCAAGTGAGAGTGTTGCGGGGGACAGCAGCCGACAGTTAGCTTCAGGGATAGTGCCGCCTGAGACAAAAATAATAACAGAAGATGTAGATTGAGTTGCAGCAAAAAGAAGTGAGTAGGAGTGGGAACCACTGAGTTGCGTGAGAGCTGCCGCCTGAGACAAGTCAAAAAATAATTGAAGCTGTAGTAGACGGTTGAGCTAAAAGCAGCAGAAAAAAGAGAGTGAGCAGCAGCAAGCAGGCATGGCAAGCGGTCGAAGGGTGGTGGCCGAAGCTGGTGGGGGAGAAATGAAGGAGGGCGGGGGAGTAGCAGCAGAAAAAAGAGAGTGCAGGTAGGCATGGCAAGGGGTCGAAGGGTGGTGGCCGAAGGGCAAGCGAGAAAAGTTGCAGAGAAGGGGGCCAAGAAACGGGAGCTAGTCAAACACTCTGAGTTGCAGAGAGGGGAAAGGGCAGGCCCAAAGGTTGCGAGGGAGGAAAGCAGTGGGGGAAAGTGATCAAAACGGTCGAAGAAGGGCAAGCCAAAAGTTGCGAGGAAGAAAGAAATCAGTGTTGAAGGGAGGAAGTTGTTGTAGGGGAAGACACAGCACACTCTGAGTTAAGAGGGCCGAGAATCTGGTGAGTTGGCCACTGGAGCTTGCCGCCTCAGACAAAAAAGAGTACGGGGCGGGGCCCTGAGCATGGTAGGCATGGCAAGCGGTCAAAGAAAGAAATCAGTGTTGTAGGGGGAGGTGACACAGCACACTGGGTTAAGAGGGCCGAGACACGGCACACTGAGTTAAGAGGGCCGAGAATCAGGTGAGTTGGCACTGGAGCTTGCCGCCTCAGGCAAGAGAGTACGGGGCCTGATCAGCTTGTTAGGTAGGCATGGCAAGCGGTCAAAGAGTGGTGGCCGAAGGGCAAGCTAAAAGTTGCTGGGTAGGAAATAGCGGTAGAAAAAAAGAGAGTGGGCGAGCAGTATGGGCATGGGAGTATTATCGGCAAACGCATACGGATCAATGGAGGAGGGTTGACTTTACTGGGAGTATTATCGGCAAACGCATACGGATCAATGGAGGAGGGTTGACTTTACTTTGTGAAAATGTAATGTTTCGGCGCACGATACCACGGGACATATGAAAGTAATAAAACGTTTATAACTTCAGCTCAATGAAAAAACAATGGAAGATCTTGAAAAAATGCCTACATTTCAAAAAATTGGGTAAATGCATTGAAGAAAACAATAGACGATTTAGCGTGGTAAGTCAAATAATTGAACCGTCTCATTGACTTCCCCCGCCCTGGAATAAATATGACGATCCCACCAATTATATTTATTCACATTCATTAGAGATTAGACTATTAGTGAGAGAAAGCGTGTAGGCCTACTTAAATCGTCACGTTTTTTAGTATTGTCAGATTAGATTAACAAGTTAATTTTTTTATATGATTATACTGTAATTATTACAAATTAAATATTTCCAGGTAATTCGTAACAAGCCCACCATTGACCCATTATTTTTTGGTAATCAGTCAAGTCACGAATTTATCTAAAAAAAACTAATAATGAGAATATCGGTCGGAGACCGAAGACTTATCGATCGAAACTGCGGTTTCGAATCGTGACTCTATAGTGACACCGCGTGTCCCATCACTAATTAATTAATAACTCGCTAATTATACGACATAATTCATCCAAAATCAATAGGTCCGATATATGATCAATGTACATGCAAAATTTGGAGCAGATTCAACCTCGCCTTCTTGAGATCTAACTTCTCTTCATCTAACAGACAAACAAACAGACAGACAGACAGACAGACAAATACCTATCAACATACTTACCGATCTTAAGATCGATAAGTAGTATTACATTTCCAAGTATGAAATAACATAAAAACAGTCGCATATGTTAGATTTAGATATGCATTGAACCCAAATTGATAATTTCAATTAGGGCAGTTGGCAATGTTGCACGCATTTGAGTTGTTTTAACCTGCCATCCATCCGCGTGGGTATGGCTCGAGTAAGGAAACATGCTAGAATAACAGAATAGAATATTGCAGTATATTGGGATTGGATATTTTATTTAGCACGTCTCGTATTGATCCCAAATTATATTGAGTTGACAAAATTATACCTGGCATTTTGATCGCGTTGAAAAAGACAGAAAAGAAAAAGGATTTTGTTTTCGAAATAATAGAAGAGAAGATAAAATATATGTTTGAACAGCATATAATAAGTCTCGTAAAAGTTCACTGTGCTGAAAATTTGAAAACCACTGCTGATTGCGATATACCGCTTTGATTTTTAGTAATATACAGAAACGCGAGTGTGTATACTGTATGATGTTATCAAGTCGCTCTAACTATTAAATATAATATGTACTTCAAGTGCAACGGAAAAAGTGAGACGTGCATAACCTACACAGCAATCTTATAGAATAATTTTTGCTTAAAGGAAATTGTGATATAAACATGAGTGAGAGTATATATACCTAGTTTGTTACAAACACCATACTTTTAAAATTTAACTTGCAATTACGATGGAACTTAATCGATTTTGAACAAAGAATTGCGTATATTAGGATAAATATGTGATTGGTTTGAAAGTATTCCTCATCAAATTTTAGAATGATTAAACAGTAAATATTGAAAATTTCGTTATCAACTGCAACTTCTTCTAATCTATAGGAAACTAAAAAATGAAGATTATTTTCGGCGTGGTTGTTATTTTGTTTTCTATGTCAGTTGATAGAACAGGTGAGTTAAGATTTACACTTTTGCGAGTTATTCTATCAATGAAAAATTCACATAACTCAATTCTTGATCTTTTATTTACTTTTAAATATACATGTAGGTGGAATCTGCGTCCACAAGTGGAAAAACGGTCGTTTCGTGTCCGAAGGTTTTTGTGAAAATCCTGATGAAGAAGGTTAGGCTTGTCGAGCTAGTATTAGAATTTAAATTCTTATTTCGATTCTTTAATTATCGCCTCAATACTCCAATCTTCGTTATAATTTGCCGATTTTCTACAGTATTCGTAAACGACTAATTCGTATAAATTTGATAGAACCCGAACATGAAGTTTAGACATGAGTTCAAATGTAATGTACTAAAATGTAACATATAATTAAGCTGTAATTAACAAACGAAGCATGTAAAGTGTAAAGTTTCGGAATATTTCCATCTGGGTTTACCCAAACTTGTATTTGTGTTGATATATGTATGTTTTTGTTATTTGCCATTTCTCTTTTTGTAATATATTTTTAATGTTTTACAGAAATAATTACTGATCTTAAGCTAAGAGCTGCATCTGCTAAGAGGAGAGGTAGTTTTGGGACTCTGTTGGAAATTTTGGTTGCTATTGGAGCAATAAATCCTATTACTTTTAAACTACTTAACGAATCGCTTTCCAATTAGCCTTAGTTGAAGATAAATGTGTTTCCCAAAAATCCAATGCTATTATAATATTTTCGTAGTCTCTCTGGTCTCTCTTTGTTATCGCTCTGAAATTAGGTCTACAAAGACGTGCATTAACAGTATTCGAATTCTTGTTCAATATATTTTTAATTTTGTTCCTAATTTCATTCTAGATAAAGGTTCGTATTGTGATAAATTATTTCAAAGAGATGCAAAAATATGGAATGGAACTGGCGGGGTTTTCAAGGGTGATGACATCATTGTGAACAAAGATGTTTATTGTGACCAAACAACTGATGGAGGGGGATGGCTGGTATGTATATTCTAGAGATATTTTAGGAAAATATCAATTGTTAAATCAAATAGTTACATAATAACAATATATTAAAACTTCGACAAATGAGTCATTCTACATAATTAACGACAAAACAAAATTTTGTAGAAAAGGACATAGGCGTAGAATAACTTTAAAGAAATGATCGGAATTGTGTTCACAAACTTTACCATGACTGATACGTATAAAATACTAATGATTGTAAATGCGTGATAAAAGTAATAAAAGGTTCATGTGGCTTGTTCTAATATCATCCTGCTAAGACATACTCTCTATATGCTTTTTATGCATAATAGAGTGAGTAATCATGCTTCTTATTTCATTAGGTGTTTCAACGTCGAATGAATGGCTTAATCAATTTTTATCGTGATTGGAGTGATTACGTAAATGGCTTCGGGGAGACGCCGAGTGAGCATTGGCTTGGTATGATAGCATTGTACAGCTTAAACAAATTCTGAATCACTGTTTCGCCGTAGACCAGGGTTGGCGAACGACCAACCCACGAGTCACAAAGTGCCCACCATGTATTTTCGGTGACTCGGTGAAGTATGGAAAACACATACTAACATATCTGTGATTAAAATCAAACGTGATAAATGAAATAAAAGAACTGTTGGAACGTGCTGAAAGCAAGTCTAATTTTTTCATAGAACAACGGGAGGCCACAAGTGTTGGAGTTTCTGGAGGGTACCACAAATTGAAAGTTTGAAAATCACTAGCCTGGACCCAGATATTTTATTTCATTATGCACAATAAAATTTCGACATCTTTACAGCTTACGCCACACAAGCGCCCTACGTTTTATATATTAAATCTGTAACGGCGCTACTGAAGTAAACCTTTTGTTTAGGGGTAGTAAATTAATTAATGAATAAATACAATCCTCTACTCACAGATTAGTAATCGGATTACAGCAGTAAACATCTGACAAAATAATGTTTTGTACTAATGTATTGATAAATTTTATCACTTCTTGTAGGTCTTGAAATTTTGCATCAATTAACTTCTTCCAACAGCTACGAAATGTTGATTGACATGGAGGATTGGGAAGGAAATAAACGCTACGCAAGATACTCGTAAGTTAGAAATTTATCGAATAAATAAATATTGCGTTGCCTAGTGCAGGGCTACTCAACTTCGATAAAAATAGTTGAGTAGCCCTGGCCTAGTGCGTATTTCTCATGCCTGTTAAACATTATCCACCTATTGAAAGCTATTTGAAACGTCACTTTACAAAAAGACATTAATTGGAACAATTGATAGATGTTTGAAAATTAAATACATCGAAAGATGTGGGTGAAAGAACATTCTAACCGTATCTAAAGCTATATATATATATATATATACTACGGGTTTGGTTCCATAATAGATGAGGTATTTGTTCTATGATGAATTTACAATTAGTCCAACAGAAGTTTAGGAGTGAAGTTTTACTATATATACCGCAGAAAGTCTATCAACGTTTAAAATAGTTTTCCCATGGATGTGGCGATAAATTTCTCGAGTCCCGGTTACATTGAATATTTTTCACATCCAGAAACTTTCGGGTGGGTAACGCAGCATCCCATTACACCCTCTACGTAGGTGGATACTCAGGAAATGCTGGTGATTCATTTTCCCAACACCAAGTTCACTACGAAAGATAGAGATTACGATGACAACGTTGCCAATTGTGCAGTGTTGTTTAGAGGAGCTTGGTGGTACAAGTCGTGTCATTCTTCCAACCTCAACGGGCATTATTTTATAGAAGGAGATCATGATTCTTACGCTGATGGAATAGACTGGAGTAGCTGGAAAGGCAATTATTATTCACTTAAATTTACAGAAATGAAAATAGGAATAAAGTTGTAGATTCAAACTGCCTCGTACTAATGAACAGTTATATTATTAATAAACGAGGAAAGAAAAAACAATCATCATCTCAGTATATTGTAACCAAACCTTAACGCAATATATTATTATACTAATGTCCTTCAAACTAAAATTAAAATTGTTGAATTACTACGAAGTAAATGGAACAAATTCAATGGTCGTTTCAAAGACCGAAAAGATGTGATTCAGCACAATTTTAGATTGCTCATGTAGAAATTGATTTTTTTATGTGTGAATTTTATTTAATAGGTTTTGCTAGCTTAATGTTTTTAGAAGGAAAGAGTAGGATCAATACGTATTTGTGATATTTTACCCTTTAATCAACAAATTCAATTAATATCGTTTCGTCTTTATCAAGGTTGGTTGACCTTATAAAAAAGGTCTTAAGCGGGTAGTACTTTGCTGGATTCGACTTATCAGATGCATATTTTCAACTCGAATTTGAAAACGAAACACAGAACACTTACGCTATATAGTCCTTTCAGATATACTATTAGGTGTGTTGTCGCGGTGTCTAGCTTTGCCCATACTCCGCGTTATATGATATCACATTTATGAACCAAGAGTACCTGGAATTCTAAACATTTCATTAGTAACCGTTACCTGTAACCTACGTTGGATTTTTGATTTGCATACATCTGAAAATTGGTGACCAAATTCAGACTTAACTATCTGCTCTAAAGCTAATCACAGTACTACAAAACTGCTTGGTATTGCCAATGTTATTAGGTAATTTAAAGATCGTATAGTAATTTCATAATTGATTTGTGACAGATACAAATTTCGAACCTCCTGAAGTCAGGTTGTGTACCAGGTTAGGGTTCAGGTTGTGCGACATCTTGGTGCGCATACTTCAGGAGTACCCAAATTTCTTACAAATTTAACAATGAAAATTACGACACTATCGTTGAACCATACCCAATAATACTCACAATACTCATTAGTTTTATAGCATTATGGGTATTATTAGAGTGAATATTTGTCCACAATTCTAAATAATCCAATTTTGGTGTCAGCCATGACCATATCATGAACTGGTGAGCTTATTTTTCCTTATTATACACTACAAATTTCATGCAAAGATCTGAATTTCATGGCATTTTCGAATTGATTCTGTGACTTCGGTGGCATTTTACTCACAAGAAGAGGGAACCATTTATTCAATGAAGGTTAAGATCCCAAGATTTTTGGTACAATGGTTTATTTGCAAATTACGTGCACGTGGCGCGTGCCAATTTGATAAAAATTAATATTTCATAATATGTAAGGAAATTTCAGATTTCTGAATTAGTTGTGATATTACGTGACATCACCCCGTGATATTATTTTTGGTTCAATATGTCATAAACACTACTGCAACTTATATCAATATTGATTAAGTGTCTGCGCCACATAATATCTCTGATTCAAACTTGGACTGTTGGCCTGGAGGCACTCAGGTTAGTGCACCGCAGCAAAACAACACGTCGGAACTGAGTGCCGTGAGCAAATTCAAACATAGACTCGTGAATTTTCGCGCGGCTCTCAATTTCTACGCGAGTGTCGTGTGCAAAGCACGGGCTTAAAAAGCCACGCATATATAGGGATCTCACAAACAGAGCATATTCTGAAAGCAAAAGTAAACCTGCTATAAACTTTTTGAACCGCTGGAAAACAAAACTTCAATTGAAATGGATCCATGCAATTGCGCAGGTATGGTTTTATTTTTATATTTTCTCTCTATAATACATACAATCATCTATCGCGCCTAGACAGCTAGGTGGAGTTATCTGCTCTTTCTGTGCTTTGCCGTGCGTGACCTAGATAAGGTGCCCACTTTTATGGTGAAATATAATTTTCAATAACTTATGTCTATTTAGAAAACGAAAATTTTAAGTGACCGTTTATCTTGCGAAATCTTGCAGTTGTGACAAGTAAAGAAAACTAGACATATTAGAAAGTTATTTAGGGCAATGGAGTTGGTTATTTGCGTTATAATAATTTTAATTTATACTACATGACAATCTTAGGTTAAAATTGTTATCAATACATTTTCAAAGATCTATTCTGGGTAAATTGAGAAATTTGGAAGTGACGCCGCTAGGTTGTATTACAAATTGAAGAGATATGATGTAGAGAAAGCACTCTGCAACATACAGGAAAACGCGGCGTCTATTAGCAGCCTTTCAAGTTTCATATTTCAAAACAAACATCCAATAATCTTGAACACATGCTTTATTTTGCAGAAACCGGCACATGCCATTGCGACCAATGTACAGACTGCACCAAATGTAAATGTAATCCAGAGACTTGCAAATGTTCACAAGCGAAAAAAAGTTGCTGTCCAAAATAGAATAGTGAAGGCTTTGTTCGGTGAATATATTTCCATTTCTCATATTATTTTTTCAATTTGCATTACCCCAAATCAATTAAAATGACGCCAATAGTTTAAAGAATCAAATACAATGAAGGGCGCCATTTCGGTATTCGATTTCAAATTATGATTAACGTGATCTCAATCTCATTTTAGTTTAATCTCGTAGAGACATTCGCATAGAATTCAGTTCCTAACTAAAATCACTGAGATCAGACAACCGCTTAGATCGTATACCGAATTAGCACCCAGTAAAGTTTTCCATTTTTACCCTGACATTATAGTAGGTATATTGGCAATTTTTAAATTATATTTTGCGAAACAAGGAAACACATTTTATCACAAATCCTAGCATAGCTTTGGCATATAATCTTCATTCGTCAAAAATACCAATTAGCTCTGTTAAATAATATACGCTTTCTGTAGATACATGATCGCAAACTACTGCCAGATGTCAAAATACCAAGGTTTTGCGTTTCGATAGCTCTTGTTTACATTTCATCGTTTTTCGTTTCAGAATCATCGTTGGTGTATATATATCTTCATCGTCAGTATAATCGAAGTAAAGAATATTAGCAATGTTCATTGTATAATTTGTGATATCATTGATTTGTAAATTTTATACGGGTGTTTTCAGCTCACGAAAAGCTGGTCTCAGGCATGGCAAAATCCAATAGTTTACCCAAAGAAAGTAATGTGTAGTTAGTAGTAGTTTTGACTAGAACATTGATCATAGTAAAATTTTTATTTTCAAAGCGATATATGTTTATTCATAGGAGTTGAATATGTTAAAACAGAAGAGAAAAGAAAACGGTTTTTACTAGTTATCCGTTGTCTGTAGCACTTTGTCGATCCATCTGTCTGATGCTCTGTTCTCAATTTTTTTTGAATTGGTCTATTGATATTCTATCTCTTTTGATATCACTTATCATTCGTTGAAAAAAATTTTCATCGATAATTTTGATCTGTTTTTATGACTTTTGGAGTTTTAAGAGCCCAACAACAGTCACTCATAGTATAATGAAAGAAACGATTATTTTATAACAATGAGAATGAGAAAATGAATTTTAACAACAACGTATTAACGAGAATATCGGTCAGAAACCGAAGACTTATCGATCGAAAGTTAGGGGATCCCCAAAACAGCGCTCTTACTCCATAGTGACACCTTGTGTCCCATCACTAATTAATTAATAACTCGCCAATTATACGACATAATCCATCCAAAATCAATAGGCTTCTGATCCGAGATATGATAAATGCATATGCAAACTTTGGAGCGGATTCATCCTCGCTTTCGTGAGATATCGCATGTATCTAACAGACAAATACTTACCGATCTTAAGATCGATAAGTAATAACCAGAGAGCTATGCTCAAATATATGGACACGGAAGGCTAAACGAAATATTTTATCATCAATTCCCCAAATATCATATGCGGTAACATACCAGTACGGTACCTTATCTGGGTAACGGTACAGGTACTGCCCCAGCTTGTTCTGTGACGATGATTCAGTTTCAACGTAAATTGAAATACCAACTGATACGAGTCACTTCTGTATCACGAGATCTGGTGCCGTACCGCAGTCTACCGTTCCCCAGAAGCACGAGATCCGCTGATATGCGCTCGTGCCATAAGGTGTGGAAATTTTGATGACGCCATAGCATACAAAAACGAATAGTAAAAAGCCTCCTAGGCCTAGCGAAAAATACAATCTTCAACCACTGAAAATTTCAAAGCAATTGGTCCAGTAATTAAAGAAAAAAGCAATTTTTTTTTATAACGATAAGAAGAAGAACAACAGCAAGAGGGTCCTATCTACGTTTCGTGGTCAATAACAGTATAATATAGAATTCTTATAGTTATTGCTGGAGACATGATTTGACCAAACCAATATTTTTATTAGAATAAACTATCACTAGTAGACTAATTTCGAAAACAAATTTTATCTGAAATTGTTTCCCTCATTTTACTGTCCAGAACAATCTTATATTCAAATTTAATTGCCATGGTTATTTCACAGCTTTCGCAATTAAATTCTATGACTGATAGTTCAGGGATACTCAACTGGCGGACCGTGGTGTTCCGAAACCGAACCGTCCAGGGTTTAATTTGGACAGCATTAGCTTCTTGATTCTTCAATTTGGTTTCTATCCACTGTTAAGTTTTACTCTGTATTTAACTGGAAAGAGTCGTATAATGACTAATTACGGAAAAAAAGTGGCCCGTTGCTCATTAGGTTACCACAACAACCTCCCCGATAACCTCGACAGTGGGAGTTTACGTTTTCTAGTTATAGTAAATTTCGAGAAGATAAATATATAAATTTTCATATCACCCTGCTTGGAACAAAAACTCGTCGACGCCCATGATAAAATACGGATTTTCCCTTGTATTATTATTGATGAACAAACATGAAGTTTTGCCTTAGCGCCAGTCAAGCAGCACTCAATATTTAAATCACTTTTATTTTTCTGCATGATCCTAATTCCTTCGTTGCTACTCTTAAAAAAGACAAACAAATTCATACAACAAAACGGTATTTTATTGGTCATGTTCATTGAAAGAGCCATAAAAGATAAAATGGAGGAACAAAAAAGTAGCAAACAATATTAGGGAAATAATTAATAAAATATTAATAAAACAAATGATGACGTAATCGTGACGTCACAATGTACTTCTTGCTCATATATGGATCGTGTTTTTGTGGGACAGAAAACCGTTCAAATAATTAAATGTTAATGTATAAGTGCTTCCCATGCCTTTGTTTTTGCCCCTGTAATGTGAAAAACATGTCGTCCTTACTAAATCGCCGCCCTCTAGCATCGTGGTGAAATTCACTACCAATCGCTGGGCCTCTCTCGACCGAACCCCTTTTCGGAATCCTGACAGCGTGTAACACTTTTGAGCTTTCGGTACCGTATGTCCTGTTCATTCGAAGGTTCAAAGCACTTGGACGCTTTTTTACTGGCGTTTCTACGGTGGCGTGGTCTCTATCGTATTTCTGGACGTTATTTGGCTGTATTTCCCAGTGGTGCATTTTGTGGCTTGGTATTCTGTCTAATATGAGTCTGCTTTCTTTTATCAAATCTTCAACACTTTTTGATTCGCTGACGGAGATATCACAGTCGGCGATTCCAGATGTGCTATCCTCATCTATAATATGGCTCCTCCGTTCTGCATGAGTGGATTTAATTTTGGCGGGAATGTTGGAACTATTCTGCCGCGGGGACGACGGCGCCAGTTGTACGCAAAATCCTTTACGCCTAGATTGCTGCAATTGCTCTGCTGTAGGATTTGGAAGGCGCCACTCAAATTTGGGTCGCGGATCCAACGATTGAGTGACGTTTTTGGAATGTTTTTCATGGCTTGTATCGTGTGTTTGGGAGTTTGAAGAACGGCGCTCTTGTTCTGTTGCACTACGCGCCCGTCGTTCCTGTGGTTTTGGCGTCGTGTCAGGTAAGTGTCCCTGTTGATTTTTCTCCTGCTCGATTTTGATGGGTAAAACCAATTTCTGATTATCAAATTCTGGAGTGCCATTTTGCTTACTGTTGGCAATCTGCTGAGGTCGCTTTTTACGTGGCAGAGGAGTAGGTGCCTTGACCGTTTCTGTGACTGTCAAACTAGTTCTGATATTTTCCGATATATTCTCAAGTATTATGTTACAAGTCTCATTTACAGTATCCGGTTCTTCCGCCAAATTTTTTCTTGTTTTAACGTCACCGAGTAAAATATCCTGTATTTCATCTTCGGTGAAAGATATTGATCTCGTTTGGTGACTGAAAGTGATTTCGTCTTCTAGAGTCGCATCCACATCTGCTTCATAATTCTGAATAGCAAAATTTGAAATACCGGTTAATTGCAGTCTATAGATGCGATATGGTAGCAGTATATCGTCCGAACACTTCTAAATCAAATCATTCAAAATCAAATTCCTATCGCATGATGTATCATTTTCCGTTTTTAAAACTAAACATAAATTCCATTGGTGAAGCTACATCTTACTTTTAGCTGTTTTTAACAGTACTGAATTGTATTACTTAATTTGAATTTCGGAGAGAATTTGATTCGCACAAACTTAATACAAATTTATATTCGACAAGTGTTGTGAAACATGTATTCACTCAGATTTCATTATTCAAAAATTATCCAAAACCTTATTCAAGTAATTTACTTGTCGATTAGCGTACAAATTTTATGTCATACTGCATTGACAGATAATTCCATGTATTCAAGCAAAGCAAAACGATAAAAAAGCAGAATCAAAGAGGCCATCGACCAATCTAAATCAAGCAGGAAGACATGCTATACTGAATTTTAAAATTGTCCGTTTTTGGATTTGAAATTCTAGATTTAGGTTAGTATATCCAAGGCAAGATTGGAACATTCTGCCACAATACAATAAAAGCGTAAAAATTACTATTTTCCACATCTCAATTCGGAAACTCCAAATTATGTGGGTGTAACATAAAGTGCAAAACGGGATATTTCGCAACGGGACATAGGTTTACTTACCATTATCTGATTGTGGCGATATCTGGCAATACATAAGACGTTTTGTATTGGAAAATTAGCGAGCCATATGAAAAAAAAGCTAATACAACAGATACAGTAGTCTCATAATATTTCCGAATTCGGTAGTCAAAATGGCAAATACACAAAATAAATACAAATTATGTGAACCAAAAATTTTATGGAATAGGCTATATTTTGAATTCTATATAAACTAAAGTTTTTGGGAATCTGAAAAATCAATTGATTTTAATGTACAACTTAAAATTTTAAAGCCTTGACTACCTTATGTTCTGATGCAGATACAGGAGTACTTTCAGAGTCAGTTTCTAAAATATCGCTTTTCCGACTGTCTGGTGTATTTGCTTCCGATCTGTAAGTAAGAATAAGGTCAGTTACGTTTTACAACAGAGTAAGTCTACAATATACTTTGCAGTATGATTGCTCTACAACTAACATATTTTAAGTGAAGGATACCTTTGATTGTATCGCTCAAACGTCAGAAATTCCCCTTTGTTGTTGTTGTTATTATTGTTGCTGTTTACAGCTGGCGGCGATGCAATGGTAAATTCATCATCTGAACTTCCCCCGTCAGATGTATGCTCGCTAGAACTTTGCGGAGTTTCGATTCTTAAAAGATAAGTGATGTTAGTCTAATATAACTAACATATTTTTAAATTTAATGTTCCGCGGTGATGAACACTGGTAGATCTATTTGCATTTTTTGTATGGCCCAAAATCTGACCAAATCACATATTTAGGAAAGTTAGTCTCATATTTTGTTTCATTTCTGTCTCGATTTTGGCGCTTTTTCAATTAATTTAATTCAAATCATTTAAAATGTGTATTATTTTGCTGAATGAAAAGTGAAAAACTGCGGCCACAAATTGGCCTATAATTTGTAAAATTGAATGACAATAATGAATCATTTGAGCAAGATTGAGGTAGAGACTTTGTCTGTATTCTGTTAGCCGGTCGGTTTTGAAGTACCGGTAATGATAGCTGTTATTTAGGTTGAGAAGAGTCGGAAGTGGGTGTCGGAGTCAAAGTTTTTTAAAGTCGCATTGAAGTATAACGAGACTGATATTTTCATTGTCAAAATTATTTGATCCCGGTGTTGGGAGATGGAGCTGGAGTAACAATCTGGATCCGGATTCAATTTGAGTTCTTGGTGACTTAGAGTAAAAATAATCAATTTTTTCTCAGGCACGATAGCTTTGGGTGTGAGCGGGTAACTCTAATCACTATTCTACCTTGAATAGTTGACAGCTTTTCTTCGCAAAAGAACATCTAAAGCATGTGGATCAGTCTCCTGTAATGTGTGCAATATCTCGCCATGTGTTTCTTTGGGCACCTATGAATATAAAAACAAAATTTTCAACTTCTGGATACTTTTAGTCATCGATTATTCATCAAAACTGTATATCTGTACGTAGTGATAAGGTTTTTGAAGCTTTCTTCACTAAACTTTTGTGGAGTATGTTATAAAGTTCAAAAATAATTCATGGCTTACCATGAACAAATCTTTGTGATTCCTAATCATATCTTCAACGACGGTAATGACCAGTGTACTCTCTTCAGCTCGTTCTAAGCTTTGTACCTAGAAGATAAAAAACGAATAGGAACACTGCATTTTTCTGAGTGTAAAATATGAACGGACAAAAATTACACGTTTATAGGCATTTTTAGTATTCGTTTCGGTCGCTATTTCGACGCAGTTGGTTTAATTTAGATTGGCCTTCAATTTTTATTATATTAATCACAGTAATACTGATGGAGATTTTTGATTCTTCTAGGTAAGGTAGGATAAAAAAAAACGGTAATATTTTTAGCATGGTGCGGGGTCTCAGTTACATTAGTTAAATCAGTCAAATTGTCAAGTATTTTTAACAGCATGACTATTATTATTGATTGGTAACAATACCTGATATTGTGCGTCGTTACTTGATGAACTTGTTTTCTTATTTCTGTGTAAAATATTCGGCCCGAATATCATAGACAAGTTCGGTATTCCCATTTTGTTTCCACAAATCTAAAAAAAAAAAGATTTCAACGTTGATAATGTAATTTACGTTACAGTTTTTTTTCATGTAATTCCTATTTGTAATCCCGAAAGACTTACCGTGTTTCCGTTCGCGTCAGTTCTGTCATCTGAATATTCTGCCACCGTTGCCAGAAAGCTGAGTAATTGTTGGAAAGTATCTCGGTTTGGCATCGGCAACAACCACACGAGGCAGCGAAGAGCTGATAAACGATCAGCTTTGTTGAGCTCTGATACAAAGAAGATGAAAGGTTTTAGAGTTTTGAAACGAAGATTTGAACTGTAATTTATTTTATTTTGTTACATTCCTGCAAGTTTTGGTCGCTTTTTATGGCGCATTTATCAGGAGACAATGCTTTTCTCATAATACAATTGAATTAACAGTAAATTGCATAAAATATTCTGAAATATCAAACAGAATTACTGCACACTGCCGCCGGTCGGAAAAATGAATATAAACATCTAATTCGAGAAAGATTATAATTGTAATCAGTTTTATGATGTCACAATGTAGACGGGTAAAAAGCGAAACGTGCACGTAGCAAATAAATTTTTTTAACGCATTAGGTGGAATAAATCACTTGGAATGAGAACAATCATAAAAAAAATTGTTTTCTATTTTAAATAAATGGATATTATTTTTTATTCGTGTTATGTCTAAATAATTGCCAAATAACCAATCCTCAATTGACCTTTTCAAGCAATTATTCTAAATAACGCATAAAACAAAGGATTCAATATTCTATTATGAATATTCATGTAGCCTAAGTTCAATAACCCTTTACTTACTCGTGGTCGAAATGAATGCTTGGTACAATTCACGAGTTAATAAAGCTTCAGGAAGATCTCGAAAAAATTCTTTTAACAACGCAGCAACATCATGAGCAAGATAATCATCTTCCACTTTCACGTCCACCCCTCGGTCGAATTCTTCTCGTAACTGAAAAATATATTTGTTAGATTAATTTCGAATTCGTTTTATGCATTCTCGTCCTAAATTTGTATTTATGGTTTACTCAAATTTACAATAATTTTTAAAGTAGATTTCACAACAAAAAATGTCTCGAGAGAGAGAAATCACGCGACGCTGAAGTATTCTATTATCTGAATAGAATATATTTAATTAAACTAAAACAAATTGTGACGACATTTCAATTAAATATGGTTTATGTTTGATATATTTAACGCAATGCGAGATCGAATATAACCCGAGGAAAAAATGATTCACCTGTTTCACTCGTTTCTTGGAACCGGGAACTCGAAATATTCCAGTGACGTCGAGACCTACCGGAAATAAAATGATACCCTTATAAAGTGCTTGTGATATGCAAATAACGGTAATTACCAAAATCTTTGACCTATTCTAGTATATTTTTAATAGCAGTGTTCGGGTAGTGGTTCCGGCGTATATAGAGTAAAGAAATATTCAGCTTTGAACTCTTTAACTCCTAAGCCGCGTTAATAAAATCACATGACGATTCTAACAATGAGATTGAATTTCACATTTTGAAAAGTCGGTTCTCGTTTTTGATACTGAACTCAACTCCTGCGCCAAGGAGAAGCAAGAATGAGAATTCTTATAGGAGAATTGCGTGCGTTCTCAAATATTTATTTTTCTTCCGTGTTACACTATATAGTATCAAATATCTTTTACGGTCGACCATGAAGAAATCGTTAAAATTGGCATATCTTTGTGTCACCAGCTTTACAAAGAATTCAATGACAAGCAAAAACATGATTTGTTTTCTGTTACGGTAGTTATTTCTGCGGTTTCCCCAACACTTGTTTCGCTTTACGGCATGAAAACAAAGAATTTTGTGAGATTGGGGGAATAGGAAAGCATTTTGACGCTCCCCCTGTTTTGTTTTGTAAAATTGAAATGAAAATATTTTGTAAAGTTTACTTTGAACCGCAGGTAGTTCAAATTTATAATATTACTAAAGACTAAGGGAAAATATACAAACAACGATCGTCTTATTAATGACAAACGAAAATGACTAAACCTCGTTTACATACGCCGCATATCCATCCATCATTATAGAAAAATTTGTATTTGTTTACTACATTTTCAAATTGAGAACACAGGTAGCATAGGGAAAAAAGACTATAAACAGACAATATGGTAATATTCCAAACTCTTATACGCTTTTTGAATAAGGAAAACATTCTGGTAATCAATATGCAATGTACTTATTAATACTGACTATGAAGTGAAAGATTCAAAGTAATCGTACGACAAGGACGTCACATTACAAAACAACCTTGCATACAGCATGACGTGACGTCATGGGGTGATAATAAAACATGACGTCACCATCTGATGAAATTTCAAAATTCTTCCGAATGTATTTTAATTTCTTGCCCAATCGTATTCGTCAGTTTCAACCCGACCTCTGACCCGATCGAAAAACTAAGTTCTCAAATGTTGCATAATTTTTACGTTATAAAGGTCATCACGCTGTAATCACATTTCATCTAACTACAGTGGGAATATTTTGAGTAGCCATAGTCCGAGACACGAAAGGTACTAATATGCTAAAAGCTAAAAAAAAATATTATATATTTTTTTAAAATACCGTGTTTTATAATGTGTGCGCAGCACTTTTGTACAACGTAAGGAACTTGTGGCATGGTCGACGGAATTAAATCGGATCGTTTTTTATCTTTTGTGCTTGTTTCCGATAACGATTTCAATAACTGTGATTCGTCTTCGTCAATACCGGTATTGATGGCGTGCTAAGCAAAAAGAAAAAAACATATTGAATTTATTACACAATACAACATCATACTTATAGAAATTTGTGATCTTACTGGTCACAAAATTGGATAAAAAAATAGGTCGGTTAGAATAACTGTTATTTTTGAGAAAAAATACTCGAGTCACATGCTTTGGTAACTACATTGTCAGAAGAAATAATAAGTTTACCGTACCCTGCGCCTCATAGTTCTACTAACGGGAACATTTGTATTTGTCGCGTTTCTTGGCGATGAAGTTGTGGGAGACGGAGTGAATGCACTGTCTACGTCATCACTACCAGGGCTACCGGAAGTTGCGCAATCTTTGAGAATCGCCCTGAATAAAATTAGTTATGAATAATGATAATTCGTCGAATGGAATTAGAAATAAAAAATGTTCTGTTTTTTTTTTTTATCTATTTTTTATCGAAATTACTAAGAAAAATGCTTACCCCTGATCGCTGGGTGATACTGGAATTCGTCTTCCCGCTTTGGGGGAAGTTCCGGAACTCGACGGGTTCAGTGAATCGCTGTCGCTCGCGTCTTGTGTGCCGTCATTCGCATTTGAATACGAGGTGGAAGTACTATCTTGTTCGATGGTCTGGAGTCGAAGTAACTGATCGTTTTCAACGACCCGTACAAGGGGGATAGCGAAGACATGATCGTGTTCTGAAGATGCAAAACAAAATAAAAGATTATGATGTCACAATGATTTAAAGTAATACTTCCCTTTTTTGCAAAACAACAAGGTAATAGAGTCCCGATTGCGGTGATGTAAAAGTAACAAACAAATATTTCATCATTGTATTAGATTTCTAAATTCGTCTGATTTCATACGTACCATGAATAATATTTGAGAAACTAAAACTTACTTTTCGCTTTTGTCCTTGATGCCTTTGTCGTGAAATGAAGGTGAAGTAGTGAATTCTTCCCATTCATTAGTCTTGATTCATCTAAGTTTAATTAAGAGATTAGTTATTTAGAGTTAAACGAAATAGCTGATATTTGCTGATTTTGAAGTCAAGTCCACTCAAGCACCAAACCTGGCGAAAAAAGGTACTTAACTCTGCTGTTAAAAATGAAACCGCTATCCCCGCCCATCTCACCTTTAGGTGTAGTAATCGAAACTCCCAAATCCATGTTGTGTAAAGTCTGCGATGCAACTTTTTGTAGAGCGATGCGTTCTATCTCTGATAAGCTCAACAAATCCACATTGGACAATTTAACCTGTTGTCCAGTCATGTTGACCCACACACATTTCCCCTGCAAAAAAGTAAACACAATGAGAGATTAAAATTCCTACATTTTTTGGTCTAATCAAGCGCTGTAAAACTCTACAATGAATCGGGAGTTTTTTAAGTATCTAAATATGTAATTTGTGTAACGCGATGTACCAAGTTCATTTACAAATGAACCTGACTATAATCAACACCACCTATCAAAATGGCATACATTTCAATTCTCAGTGCGTGGGTGATAAATCATCCAAATAGAAAACCATTGTTGTTTGGATTTCGGAGTAACACAAAATTCAAATAATCCTTACATCTCATAGTACGCGTGAATGTTATTATAATAATTACTGACTCTCTAATAGTCTAATACATTCCGTACGAGTTGATTAAAGATAATCCTACTTATGCTTTCAATTGGGTTTCGTTAACAGTAAATCGACATTTTGAAAACATCGGCAACGTAAGGTCAATTATGCGAGTTTTCTATGGTTTATTTATGAAGATAGGTCAATCTCGCGTATAGTAATCTATAACAATATAAGATGAATTCAACTTGGCCACGTCTCTCTCTAATTGACAATAACATTTGGAAAACTGTTATTTTCCCAGCAAACGTTTTCGCGCCAATGGTTATATATATAAACGTACTATAAAACAAAAATATAATTTTCACGTTTTTTTTAGGTGTAAATCAAAAAATGCTGTAGATCTAAATTTCTCAGAATGTTGAACAAAAGTGGAAAAAAAGATTCTTCAGTTGTTTTCGTCACGTTTTATTTAAACAGAATTCATGTCTATTTATTCAAATATTGAAGCTTAAAACTGACAAACTACATCAAATATTCTTCTGGGAATAACATATCTAGTTTTGTCATTCATCTGTAGTACTGACGTCACAAATGAATAAAATACGCGTCCGTTTTGTTTGTCTTGATCTGGGAAAGCTAGAAATACATTTTACATCGGTATCATAGATAATACGATAATATAAGTTGCAAGTCGCGCTCGATGTATACATGGGCCACATCTTTTCCAGTGTGTGTACAATTATATTACTTGACAAGCTTGTATATAATTGCATAAATATTTGAATTTCGATTTCAACTTCATAATACAACTCTATATTGAATTCATAGAACTTTTTGATTTACTGACTAGTCAAATCAACTAGGATTCTTTAACCAATTTAGTGTATTTGATTAAGTAATTGTATGATATGAAACATTGTCACAAATAATATTATAAAACTGATGATTAGTACTATTTAGCACTTTAGAAGGCATCAAAAAATATATGGTCAGGTGAAAAAAATTTTCTTCGGGCGCGACTCGAATATTTCCTTTTGTAAACTGGCGATGACAATTTGGAAAATTTTTAGTGTGAAGCCGAAAACTTCGGAAATTTCATCGGACCTTTGGTAGCAAGTCCCCACCATCAATGTAAAAATGCAAGATTTCAATAAAACGCCCCCTTCACGTTCTAATTACTCGTTAGCCGCCGCCGATACTGCGAAAATTTGAGATTCGGGAAAATCACCCCCGCACGTTGGCCACGTTTCAGGAGTGGCGGGGGCTTTCTACAAAAGATCGTCTTCATCATAATTTGAATTTGCCTATGTCACAGCAAAGGTATTAGAGTAGTACCTTATACGGTACAAATTCGTCAATAGTAATATTTCCGATTAAAGGAGTGAACAGACTCCATATTTATATATAGCACGTCCTAAAGTTGAACTCATGATTTTACATCTCCTTAATTAGCAACATAGAACAATATTGCATAAGCAAATTATATATATCCATTCCTATATAGTAAATCGGAAGTGCAAAAGTCAAAATCGTCCTATTTCTGGGGTATTAGTCGAGGTCAAGTCTGCTGACAAAGGTTATAACTTATATTTCGCCAATCTATACTAAAATTGAATTTCTAACCTACAGTGAGACGATATTTTGGAATCCTACGTCATGTAGAAAGGAGACGTAATAGCTAAGCGTAACTGACGTTATTACGTCGATAGGGAAATTGAATGTAATATTTCTCAATAAACTTTACTTAGGTATTCAAAGCACCTTACGTCAAAGCGCGTCCGTAAACCGTTGGAATAGGCAATCACGGCCCAAATGACTTAGTGAGATCAACTAAAATGTTTAATTTTTTTTACTATATACGGCCAAACGCAAATCGAATATAAAAGATCTCTGGCGTGTGTACAGTCAAAATCACAAGAGAATAAGAACTTGGAAAAAACAAAAAATTGAGCTTATTTTATTGAACTTGTGTTGATTCTGTCATATCTATAGCCTGCGAGAATTCTGAACCATACTTTACAAGATGCCATATTATTGATGATTGTAAAGACAATTTAGTCAATATGGTAATAAAGATATTATGGTAATAAACAAAACCCCAAATATAATTCTTCATAAAATCAAAAAATATAATATGTATTGGACAATCTTCATATTCTACAAAAATGTTCAACTAACTATAGCAAAGGGCAGTCGATATTGTCTTGCGGCCGGGACGAACTAATAGATTACCCGTGAGAACAACACCACAGATGCCGGTTACCATTTTGGTATCAGAAGTCTGTAGGAAAATTCAATATATGAGTTGTAATTGCAAGAAAAATCGTTTCTAATCATGCTGAACTAAAAATATGATATTCTTAGAATAAAGGTCGATTATTACCTTTGGAGACCACTCGCTATTTTCATTCTCGCCTGCTACCGTTTTAAAACCTCTCTTTACTGAAACAGGCTTGCTTGCGTCCAATTTTTTCCTGCTAGGAGGCGAATAGCGTGCCGACAAAAATTGTGAAAACGGCAACCATGAACTTCCTGGAGAAACCGATCCTCCATCAGAGGGAGTTGGGAATAAACTTTCTTCCACTTTTTCTGGAATTCTGTGGCTGATAGATTGAGCAGTAACAGCAAAGCTTCCTGGTATAGGCGAACTTATAGTCAACTTTATGGGACCATAATGCTTTTGGGGCACGTTCAGTATCTCAGAAGCGCTGAATGCTTTAGACATTTTGGGGGGCTTAGTATCACTTCTAGTAACATTGTTTCCGCCAACAGAATGGTTTGCAGTGAAGCTTCCAGCGATTGGAGAACTTATGATGATTTTTGAAGGCCTCCTAGATTTATTTAACATTTCGGGGGCGCTTTGTTGTTTCGATATTCTTTTGGACTGTTTCGATCTCTTGGTGGGATATTTTGTGGGAATAACGTTCTCTGAAACTTCAGTAATACTCCCCCCTGCAATCGATGCAATACCAAGACCATGTCTGGCAGTTAGGCTTCCAATCACCGGAGCGCTTATTGTTAACTTTGGACTCCTTCCACTTTTTAGTATTTGCGGTGAGCTCAGTTGTTTTGAAAATTCCTTAGGTTTGCTTGCCACGATTTGTGTATCACTGCGAGTTTTTTTGAAAGACAGTTTTGGATCTTTTTTGTTGATTGTAGCCATTTGTGTCTTTAAATCTATAACATGAGAGTTGGCAACTGCGTTTCTTCGCATCATAGATGGATTTTTGTTTACATTTCTCTGTATTCCGTTATCAAGCATAGAGTTTTGATACGACACACGTCTCCTGGCTACTTTCCCACTTAGGCGATTATTATTCGATAGCCGTCGGGGGTAATTCGTACTTCTCGTAACGTTACTTTGCTGATTAGATCTCGCGTTGTAAATGATACGTCTATCACAATGTGATTTCACGAAAGATCTAGGTCTTATTTGCTTTATGTTTTCCGAAGGAGTATAACTTGATAACCTTGCAGGATTATGTACAGAACCTCGCCAAGTTCTTTCTATATTTTCGTCGTAATTTGCATTTGTTTCTTGCTGTTGTGATCCCTCTGAAGAATGCTGAATGTATTCGTTACTAATCACTTCATCACATGCTTCTTCCAATAATCTTTCTGCAACTGGATCCATTTTCAACAAAATCATAAGCTAATATACTAATGTCTGGTAATAGATAATCACTCAGGTTTCACATTAAATTGTTTACTACAAAATCTAACAAAAATACATGAAAAAGTGTGAAGCGAAAGAAATCTCAAAAGTCCTTATCTCGACTCAATTTGAAAGGCAGTAAGCTACCTAACATTTCTCTGAGGCTATGGCTAACACTTTAGTCGTCAATAAGCCGTTAGAGTGGTAATATAATTCTTTCAATCGACACATTTATATAGAAAAACGTCCATTCAAATGTCCAATGTGTAATTTACAAAATGAGCAAAATTGACTAGCAATTTTCTGTAAGTCAATTAATTTATACTATCATTCAGTTTTGTCAGACAACTATTTATTTTTCGTTTTTTTATCTCTAATCTTCAATCTTTATTAGTAAAAAGAATGTAACCTCGAGCAATAGATTAAAATTACTCTCATATGCAAGTACAATTTTCTAAATTTTTTAATCAATTTATCCGGATGTTTTCAAGACTTGATTCAGATTTGTAACTATCTCCATTCGTTATAGTCAGGACCACGTATGTGCAGATATAGGCTATATTGAAAGTATTTGGCGATGAATCTGAAGTTGATACCCAAAACGAAATTAGAACCTGATCTAACCATTTCCATGTCATGTGGGCATTTTGACAGATATAAAACAATCAAAGCGAAGCAATATAACATTACTTTATGCCTGTAAATTTATTGTATAAACTAAAAAATTTTTTTTTATAATATAATAGTACTTATTTTACTCCTAAAAATCCATCATAATATAATAAATCTGGTCACGTATTCTTTACTGTATTGGCCATGACCTACGCAGCATCTAAAAACACAGCCTTCTGCAGCTATGCTAGATACGATCTCGCCCAAGCACGACCGCAAAATGCTGTTAAACCTTGAAGAGCAAAATTAATCTGCTAGAGTCGTGTCGGTTCATCTGGTATATAAATATACGCGCCCTTTTTTGGGGAAAATTAGGATTATTTGTACAAACTTTTTTTTAAATAGAAACCAGAAACGAAAAACAGGAAGCACCATTCAGCCGTAACCCGATAGTCTGTGGTTTGTGCGATAATTACGCTTCAAGTACAACTCATATATGCATCTTAAAACTACCCCACGTAAGTAAAACCTCACGAGTTCAACCTATCTTATCTTTGGTAATACTGGAAAAATTAACTTCGTTTTCAAAGTAAACGGTTAGAGTTTTCAATGTACAGACTAGTTATATTCGATGTTTCATCTAAGGCCCATATTTCTTTGCGTGAATGTATCAAAATTATTAATATTTCAAAAATTAAGTGAAGTCCACGATTTCTTTTGAAATTTTAATAAAATAAAATTTGAATTTTGTTTTCCTAATTTTGTCATTATTCTGACTACTTGAAAAATTTTGTGTGGAAATTCCAACGTCATTTATCGTTGAAGTGAACTTTTTTTTATAAAATTAGCATATTTGGAGTACCTAGAAAGAATAACTTTTATTTTGTTATATCTATTGTTGATGTTTCGTCATTGTTTGTCATAATAAAGGACGTTCTTGAAGAATTTTGAGGTCATTTTGCGTTAAATGTGGAATTTTGGCGTATTTTTTTTTTGAAAAATAACATTTGTGAGTGTTTTTGTGAGAAATAGTTTATTCAAATTAAAGAAGTAAAAATCCCTGAATTTTTTGAATTAGTAAACGAATACGAGATGAAAAATTATACCTTAGAATTCCATGTTCGTTCCGTCATCTTATCCAGCTCGTCAGACGTCATAACTGAATTTTTTCCGTTCGATTTTCCAGACTTCTGAAACCTTTGAAGTAAGATAAATATTATTCAAGCAGCGTATTATATGGTTTGTCTTAAAATTCTATGAAAATTAAATCTCAAATGAGACCAAGATATAGCACATGCAATAAAGTGGGCAGAACAATACAACTCAGTATTAAATTATAATAAACATTACTTCTATGATATTTTGTATAATCGCTCTTTGGCCTTTTCAATTCGTACATCCCTATTGACCTGGATATGGGCCAAATTGAATGACAAACACAAAAATAGTTTATTCGTCCCAACCAGTGGTATTAAAAATCATTAATCCAAAAATGTACTAACTTGATATTTAGTAGTAAGTAATTTACATTGAAAATTGATAAAAAAAAATCTTTGCTACCACTATGTTAAGAGATATATTACGAAAAAGACTGGTAAATGAGGTTTCAATGGAGATATCATATAGGAAATAAATTTTAACTCCGCGATTATTAGTGCAATTGGAGACAGTTACGCACTATTAATTAAAAACATTGCACTAATAAAAACCTAAGTCGTGCAGTATTTGTCAAGAGCCTTCTCCACAAGAATAGCATAATCTCATTCCACGGAATAGCAAGTATATTTGTAAGCTTTCGTTAGATCACAGTCTAATTTCTTCAAACAAGACACGATATAATTTAATTAAATAGCAAATAATTATACTTGCTATTTCGTGGAACGCGATTGTGTTGTTCTTATTTATCACTTTATTGCTATTTCGTTTGAGCATCTTTGCAGCAATGGCTACATACGGGTCCGAGGTGAGAAGCAGACAAGAAGAAAGAACCCACAGTCCTGCAAAATGCTAGAACTTTTCATAATTGAAGTTGATTAAAAGAAAAATTAAATGCGTAAAACAAGTGTATTGAAAACTATATAAACCATAATACACGAATATCAGGCGAGATAAACAAGCATGAAGATATAACTGATATCTGAATGCATGATCATTGTTGTTTACGCAGTACTTGTGAGAAGACTGTCTGACCGGACATTTTTGACTCGTGCTATCAATAGCATACATAAAACCTTAAATTGAATAATTTACACGCTCAAACGAACTTAACACTTACTACTATTTGAATCCACAATACCAGAGTAATCACAATTCAGATACTTCTTTATTAGAACTTACTGATTGTTCTATTCGATGTATATCTAACATGGCTTCCTTCACCTGTTAAGATACATATACCTTTCAGGTGTTATCCCCGACGCTGAATATCACAAAAGACATTCTAACCAACAATGACGGTTCGAGAAATGAGCAAAAACATGAATTTTGTCCGGATGTAGATTACCTTTTATCAAGCATGGAGTAATACTAAATAGTACTTTGAAAGTAGGAAATATCATTTGTCCTTCGCTGATCTAATATAACCAGAAAAGTAATTGTGGTAACACAGTGAGCAAACATTTGGCATGACTGTATTGTTTGCCATCGATAGATTTTATGATTGTTCTATTTATGTAATTTTTATTTAATTTCGATAGATCAGGCATTTACTAGGTATAACTGATTTGTCGTGCTTGTGGTCTATGGTTTACATCGTCTATACATTTGTTGTAAATGATATTTAGGAGAAGAAGAACTACTACTTTCTACTACCATGCATATGTGATTTTATATCGAGAGGCTGAAAGTGAATGTGCAGTTGCCAACCAACACAATGAAAACAACAACGACGATAATTCCCCTAACAGACAAAACACATTCTTTGTATTGAGAAAATAGTGAAAAAAAAAACATCAAGATCAATTTATATTGTAATATTTCAAATGTAATGTCGATTTCTAATTAGGGGTAAAGTTATATAGAGACAGTTGTATTATTTGTCCTGACTCAGATATTTTATTCATCATTTTAAGTGCTATACCACAAAAATATCAGTACAAAACGGTTTCAATTTAATAGGACAATTAAATATTATTGTTTTATGATGACACAATAAAAGGAAGTAATTTAGCTATAAAATTTATTTTTTTGCAACTGATTTCTCGTGACGTTTATTATTTTCATATTCATAGTATTCGGAATATTTCAATAAGAAAAAAAAAACAGTTTACTGTTCAATGAATCCCGTGTTATACACTAGAATCAGGGCCACGCAACTATTTTTACCGAATATCCGCATTTAAAACTTCAAAATTATTTGGGTCCGGAATTTTATAAAAGAAAACTTCAAAAGTGGGGCTAATGATCCAAAATAAAGAATTGGGTGCGATCCGGAGCAAATACTCGAAACGTCCGGATTCGGACCGCGGTCCGCAAGTTGAGTAGCCCTGCTCTAGATCATAAATGGATCAAGCCGACGACGGCCGGGCACCTGGTATAAAACAACTTTGAGTAGTGGGTTAATTTAGCATATTTTTCTATTAGCATAAGCTCATTTCTTGTTATCATAACAACGTAAACAACGCAATGGATAAAAGTCACTTATAAAAAAACGAATCACGTAAAATGAGAGCAAGGATTCTGAGAACATTATTCACATATTTATTGCTGACGATAGTGTATACAAAACTATTGAATGTACTCTGCACATTTGTTTATTTACATCTTTCAATGATAATCTATGCAGCATACGTGTAGTTACTAATTGTGGCAATGCGCGTACTCAAGTTGGAAAAACTTGATCCGCTGACTAACCAAGTATAATTGGTATGAAATGGGCGGGTCAAAGGAGTTCCTCTTTGACTGGTGGTAAATCCCTGGCTGCTAGTTCAAACTACACACTATGTGGGAATCAGAAAATTAAACAATGTCCTTTCACTAAGTGTAAGACTTGGTCGAGTATACGCAGTCACACTAAATTGAGGTCAATTTCAAATCCCTTGTATCAAAGATTTGCCAATATGAAACACGATTACAACCATATAACAAAAATATTACAGATTTTTTTTACAGCTTTACAAGTAAAGTTTCGTCTACATGGCTTAACGAATAATATATGTCAGTGAACAACGTACAAGTAAATCCGGCTCAATTGTGTTCTATAAGTCGATTAGAGCCCCATTATTCGGTATTTGAGCTTAGGAAAACAAACAAAACATTTTATATTCTTATTTGTGATTTTAGAATACTCTCTACGTCTTCAAAATCCATGCAATACAACGATTGTACTACTTTTTACGACGCATGTCGGTAGTAGCGGCACTCACGAAATACTTTTCCCGTAAATTTTGCTTTCATAAAAATTTACTGTATTGGAAATATATATCTGGTTTGGGTTGAATGCGTATTCAAAAGACACCAAAAGCTATCGCTCAATATACTCTTTAGCTCCCCCACTTGACGAGTTCACATTTCAACAAGATAATCCTGACTAACTATTACATTACCTGCGTTTATTGGAACTGCGTGGAGTCTGAAATTCTTGGTTGATGTATTCTACCAGGATTTCAGCAGCACTGAGTTTCAGCTGATATGGCAGAAAAACTGCTGCCATTGCCAATCAATCATGCAATTTCATTTGCCAAATTAGTTTCACCTATATATCAATAAATTGGCATGTTGCATGCCGTCTAGTTCTATATTATAAGAAACGGTCGAACGAAATGACTGATTATTTTGGTCATTGTCTGACAATATGATTGATTCAAACTTAACCGTAACAGGTACAATTCGCCACCAATTGAATTCGCCAGGAAAGCTAGCTGTCATACAGACAAACAAAACACAAGGCGGAATTTGGCCTATTTTCAACTATCTAACATCATGGATTCTTTCGGTTACATTTATCACACAAGTGTCACTGATTTAGGTCCCAACTATTTACTTTAAATACATTTGCTAAAATATAAGTTTATTTTCCCTCTTCGAAATGACTACATTTGCGCCATCGGTCTATAATTGCGCTATTTGGAAATATTCCAGAATGTCTGGCACAACGGATGGCGAACGGGCACACAGAGCTCGTAAATAAATAACTGCAAAATCTTTTTTATTTGCCCTGCAGCGGTTGCGATTTTCAGTCAAGTAAATCGTAATAAAAGCGAGCGAGGGTAATAAAGCACAGCACATGACGTCACAAATGACGTAACATCGATCGGAAAATCGAAGACTTAACTTTATTGAACTATTCTCTCCTAAGGTTTTATCGATATTTCGATTACTTCTCCACACCTTATCGGCGATTTGACTATTGCATGGAGGTCAAAGAGAAATTTGAATAAAGTGGATTTGAGAAACTGATTTCAGGCGAAATATTTTTGCCTTAATGCATGCCTAATAATTCGTAATAAATCGTAAACCCCATTATTATCTCCCACCCCTCACTCTACTGTAACTAAATTTTTAGATATGTTATATGTAGTGCCGTACTGTGAGTGGAAAACATGATATCGAAAATTGATTTTCATAAAATTAACGATATCTATACCCAATTCTTGTATTTATCCCACATATGATAACACTTTCTCCTTGGAGGATTAAAATTACTGTAACAACTAAAGATGATAATTTTCTGGGGCCCAATGAGAAATCTCTAAACTGTTTACAAGCTTAAATGGCATGGATATCCATACAAATGCTAAAACAGCAATCATACGTAGATCATTCTAAGTCTCTAAATTCCGAGCTATGATAATTTGCAATCACTAAAATGGGGTATTGATAAATGCCTCTCGCAATCGCCCCGATCTTGTGGTATTACATAAAACTTCACACTTGATTAGAAAGCAATATTTATATTGGGTAGCTGCCGTAAAACTCAAACCCGCTGTCTGCATGGAAGCCCTCAGCGGAGGAGATATTAAAATGGCGATTGGTACGATATACGGTATTCATCCGTTTTTCTATAAATGCATGATAATCTAGTTCCTGGATCCTTACGAAATAAATCAATATTAAAATTGAATATATATGTATTGTTCTATGTGACGATAGTTGTACCCTAATCTAGAATTAATGTATTATTCCCTCCATCTTCTATAGTAGACACGTCTTTTCTAATATTCTAAACTGTTTCTCCCACGCGCGGAATACAGCATATCCTATAGGATGATCTGATAGACGAGGGTGACATTACACAGCCATGATCGTAAAAATAAATGCGGTATCGCCATATATATCAATTCAATAGTGGTATTGCTGACCTGGCAACCTGCAAACTAAAATAGTCTGTCTTTCGCAATAATTTTTATCAACAACGTGATGAATGTCACCCTGAACCATTATCAAAGTCTTCCATCACAATTCTAGGGGTAAGGCCCTGCAATTATTTTATATGGTCAAAATGAGCTGGATTAGATACGTTACGTTAAAAAACGTTTCAATCAGAATACAACTACCACACAACACGAAACACGCAGCAACATGGTCTCGCTTTATCGTCCGATGATGCTGACCCAGTTTCAACTAACAATTCTGCATTCGTATTTACTGAAGCGATTTGTAAAGTGGAACATAATACAAAATAGGTGGAAGTATTGTGACATGGAAGGACTTTTTCTGATGTAACTTTCGTGTAACGAATCTATGTAGATAAGCACCTCTAACAAAACAATATGATTGTTTAAACGTCAGTGGTGATCAAATCGCTATGTTACATGTACATGTATAAGAAGCGCCATATGTCAGAAGTAAAATTGGTAAATTAACCGAATATACCGAAATATGCTTTATCTTACTTCACGAAATACGAAAGGTAACATGGACACGCCATCTACCGGTTGTGTGATATAATAGATTAGACTGAGACATCAGGGCTCATTTAAAACGATTAAACAACTGAATCTAAACTTGACACGGACTTATATATTACGTTGAATACCACTAGATTTGAACGTTTATTAACGAGCTGTAGGATGTTACCCAACTGGCTCACAATACACAGACGTCTATAGAAATACTCAAGGATTTATAGATTAAAAACACAATGAATCTATAATATATAGAAAGAGATAATTTGAAATACTCCATGTACTATACCAGAAACTAAACATAAACTCGTTGAAATGAACAAAATATGTCAATTGTATACTTAAAAACTACTTACCCTCCGATACAATCCATATACATTTTTGTTGATTAGAGCTACCTTCCATCAACGGTGGAAATATATTCTGCTTAAATTTCGTTCTACCACTATTTTCCAGGCAACATAGCACACAATGAAAACTATTTCGTTGTTGTAATTCAAATAGAACATAGGAACACTATAAATAACGCACTTGGAACTGGCTAATTACCAAAAATTCGCTTCTAGCTTTCCCTCTGACTGAGCCAACTAAGAGTTATAATTTTTATCGATACAGTATTAATTTGCATATTTTATAATGCAACCAATCACCAGTTTTGCACTGAAAAATTCCATTTCATCATATTTCGAATAAAATTTGCGATTTCACCTGTTGCTTTGACTACCGCCACGAAAATCATTCGAAATAAATGATCTGACCTATCTAGCATTCCTTTCACACTATTGTCACCACTTCAATCACCAAATTTGCCCAACAATCTCGCTTGCCTTTCGAAAATACTGAATTGCGGCTGGTTAATTGTCATTTGATCTGCTTTAATTGACTGCCGCGAGTGCTTTTGTGGCATGTGAGTAACGAATTTGTAACTTCCTTTTAAATATTTTAAATGCCGGCCAGTGAGTTATGCCGCTACAAAATGATACAGATTTAACGCCATTGTGTAGTCAAATTGTATCATTACGAAGGTTATGTAAATCACAACGCTTCATGTACACTAGGTGCGCATTGAAACAGTAATTACAAGAACTTAGAAATACCAGCAACTATACTATAGCAGTTATTGGTTTATGATAAATATCAGACAGTTTAGTAGGTACTTGAAATGCATCATTTCTTTCGTTCTGGTTTTGACTAAAGGTAAATTATTTGACAGATAGATAATAAGACAGTGGTGAATCTAATTTTAGTTTACTAATAATTGTTAATTATATATATGAATATTCATAAAAATATGGCCAGGTGTTTGCATTAGAACATTATTGTTGATTGTTTAAAAAAGCGACATGGGCGCAAATACATTTTACAGATTTAAGTTGGTCTACGTGGATTATCCTCTATTCAGATGTATATATGCCCCCTCGATTCTTCGGGGAATCATTAACGATTTGCTTGTAGCCGATTTCCCTAATTATGGCATGGTGATTGATTTAAATGCCAGTGACCAGTTAGGTTACCTTGTGGGATATTCTGGAAACAGGTATTGTAGATAAACAAAAATTAGTTTATCACTTTCTTTCAACATACCTGAATGTTAAATTTTGTGCTAAAAGAACTTGGCTCATTTTAATTTTACGCTAACATGCCAAAAAGAAAATATATATTTAATATAATAATAATATGAAATTGATGACAATATTATCCGATTGTAAATCCACTAATAACTAGCAATCTACAGTAAATTTACACATCGGTATAACTGGATTGAATATATCACTGAAAAAGTTAAACGGGTCCACATATATAGATAATGACCATAGAGAAAGCAAATACTCATTTTAATTACATGACACGTTGCATCAAGCTCTAATCGTAAGATTTGTATTAATGAATATAGGATGAAATTGAAACAGTAGTTACCAAATGAATCTTTCTTTCATATTTCCGAGTCTCTTCGGAGATCAAATCTCCCAAGTGTAAATAAACTCAAAATTTCAAGGGCAATGGTACAGTTTACCATTTATACGAGAAACCTTTTTGGATGATTATAGATGAGTACAAATATTATCCCAACAATCCAGCAATCGTAAGTCCAACGTATTCATCTTACCACACTATTCAATAAGCAATTTGCAGATTGGGTATAATACGTACATTCACGAAACGACAAAATAAAAGATGTCTCGCTCGTGGTGCCAAACCTCTATAATAAGTTCAGATGCCTATATTCATTGTTAATCGTGATTGATATATTCCACACATAGACCAAGAACCGGTGCTATTTCAGTTTTGTTTTCTAAGTATATCGTAAATATACAATTATCAGTGAATGTCCAATTTGTTATAGCGGTAATACAACAGTTGCAATTACAATTTTCCCTATTAACAACTGGATTAATTCCTCACCTCTGACAATTTATATAGTATGGAAAACTTCTCACACTTGGAATTACGAATATACGTAATGTAGACGCCCACTTAAACGGAAAATACACCACGACGAGGTTTACAGTACAGTAAATCATGATCAAACTATTTACTGGGTTTAGAATGTGAATTCGTTTTATAATCGCGGCGACCTGTATTTGTAGACGTTTTATTGTTGTAGTACTGAATTGCTGTTTTTAGCAAAACATTGACGATAGCAAAATGTTTTATCAGATTATAACAACTCAGATCAGAAGTTCCACCGCAAATATACACCCTAGAAATTTGATAACCATATATCAAGCTAATATGAAATAATAAACATTTTCTCTCAGTTCAATATGGAACAATAAACATCATCAATTACAAAAAGTAAAAGTCTGATATAGTGCCATATTCATAACCGCAATCCATTTAATTGAAAAAACAGCAATTGCCAACTCACCCACACAGGAATGTCCTAAATAATCTCGACATGGTCATTTTCTGTTGGAGAAACAGTGTCGTACACTTGATCTCTAACCATGATTATCACCGAATACCTCATTTTGTAATATATAAAGCACAACACATCATATGACCATTATATTCAACAAGCGACCATGCAATCAGACCGGTGTTATGACACAGTCTCTCCATAACCACCTTTGGTCAGAGATAATCTTAATATACCCACAAATTACTTGTACGGTCATCGAACATTATAGCATTAATCGTATTTCCGTCTCATTAAGCGTTCATTAAAGCGTCTTAAATCGCTATTTTTATTTATAAATCACCTTCAACTACATATTAATGCTCAAGTACGGTATTAATATTCATCCCATGTTTCATCAAACACATGATTATACGTAATTTATATGTAAGTAGCGAAGGACAGTGTGATTGCATTACGCAAGGGTGTTCACTCAGTTCAATGCTATTTTATAAAGTTCCTGTGTTTTTTTTCAACATAATTAATAAGTAAAATGTATTATGTTTCAATTCAGACAAGCCAAATTCACTTGTGAATTAATGATTAACATCATATTTCAGTCATGTTTCTAATTTATACCAAGAGGTAGCCTGTTTTCTGATTTTGCTGTGTGTATATAGAGGAGTATTTGAAAATATTCAAAATCGTATAAATTAATATTATTTTACCATCTCAAGTTTCACTCAAAGGTCAAGGTAAGGCACTCAGTCATGCGCAATCAAGACATACGATATTAGGAGGAAACGTTCATCTCTCAATTGCAATTTACCGCCAGACTCGATTATGCATGCTCTATTCCGATAAAAAATTGAAAATTTTAACGCATCTTGTTTGTCTATTAATAAAGTTACTCTTTATAAATTAATCATTGAAGTTTTTAGGTTTGTCAATTTTCTTAATTAAATTGTAGCGCTTGATTACGACAACGTGAAACCCTAAACAAATGTGTGCCTAGACGTAAGCGGCGGTCTCATACTGAGTTACTGAAATTACTTCGTTCCGGTTTGCCACAAACAGTTAGATGAATACATGATCCCAATAGCCATATGAATGGAGACTACTGTAGAGGGTTATTGTCGACCCTATTATTGGCCTTTATATATATTCTATGAAAACTTTGAGCTCGAACCCAAAACTCTAGCACGGCTGTATCGCAGAAAAGATGGAGAAATTACAAAAACAATGCGGTAGAATAGAAAAGTAAATGTACTGCGTGTTTAACTTTTAAAAAATACTATATGCATAAAACCCTAAATATGGACTTATGTTTATGTAAGTTGGAAAACAATGCAAGTTGCGGCTAAAATGCGATTCTCCCGCATAGGTTAATATAATTTTATGCGGAAACACCAAAATAACAGGTACCTGTATTTTATGCTTCCAGTTTTTGTGATGTTGAAGTTTTTGTCTAGATTGTGTGGAGGCGTGAAAGAATGGAATGAAGTGCCGGCACCAGATTTTGTTGGTTTAGATTGAGAATTTTCCGACGTAAGAGGTGACGTGCTTTGTACTTTCATAACGTGAAGAGAGTGACGTTGTGTATTATTTGATCCACGTAGAGATGAGCCGTTCTCTGACCCGGGACCTATTGTAGATCGGCGAAAACTTTCGAGCTCCTGAAGTCGCTTCGTCGCAAAGTAACCTGGTAAGTTGTATTTATGTTGTTACAATATAATTAACTTGTAAATAAGCTTGTTTGTAACTTTATACAGGTAATTTTAACATGAATATAAATCGTGAATATTTTATCGTGAGCCAATTTTGCCAAAATTAAGTAACAAATTATTAGGTTGCGTTTTATTTTTATTGCGGAAATGTGTAAATATTCATTTGAAATTTACCCCTCGGAAATTTCAAAACTGTGTGAAATTAGAAAATAGAAGTATAAATTAAGTATCAATATGGAATAAATTGTTTGAATTTTTTTTATTTTAGTTGGATTTTGCATAGTGAAAATAAATTATTACATGCTTAGTGGAAATATGAGAAAAATTAAAAAAATTTTAAGATGTTGCTTCACCCCAGTTGTTTCACTTCAGATACATTTTTTATATTAATTAAACTTACCCGTATTTGATGCTTGCAACACGTCACCTTTCCCAAATGACGACGTCACAATGCGTGACGTTTTGGCCATAGACACAAGATTTGTTAACGATCTGCTTGTTGATAACTGTCGAGGTTTAGATATCTTCGGAGAACCTTGTTTTGAGTTTGATTGAGAATAGGTTGCGCCATCATGCGGTGATGACTTATTAGTAAGTGAGAATAGCATTCTGCTATCGTCAGTACCGCTGCTACCACTAAGCGATCGTTTTTCTTTTACACTCTGCTGATCAGACGACGTCGAGTTTCGACCAGAACTGCTGAATTTGTAAAAATCCTCTCCGTTTTTCTTTTTCTTATAGCAAAATAATGAATGCGGTTCGGTTGAATGGAAATATGATTCAGAAGACTCCAGTTCTTTCTGAACTATGAAATATGGTCTATCTGGAAGCAAATTATGTCCATCAAAGCTTTTCGCTCTGCGAAAACAAACAGGGCTGCCACGCAATACTTCAGTATCGTCTTCCACAGAATTTGACGTCTGATTTTGTTTAATATATTTAGTCCTAAACGATTTAATTGACGAGTCGTCTTTATTACTGCGTACACTTGTACTCGTAGATTTCGACTTGTTAAAATTGGACTTTTTTGTTTTTCCACTTTTGTCTTCGGCTGCACCGTCTGTAGGTAAGCTCCGCGCTGACTTCAGTTTAGGTTTCGCACCCCTGTTCTTTTTCCTAAACGGCGCGAATTTCCAATTAATTACTCGTTTGAGAGATGAAGATCGTGAATGAGATACTCTGAATTGTTGGACTTGACTATTTACTTTTGTTTCATTGTTTTCAAAACACTCACCCTCCTTTGAATCGGTTGTTTCTGATGATTGAGCTTTTTGTTCACACTTTTTCGTTGAATCACTTGAATTACTAAATAGATTAGGTTTATTAGTGAATTTATTATTGTCAGTACAATTTATAGTCTTCTCAAAAGTTACGTCCGTCTCCTTTGCAGCATTGGAGATAATGAGCGAACATTGGCTTTCAGCTTCCTTAGAAATACCATTCGTCAGTTTTTCTTTTTTGGAAGTTGCGCCACCTGACCAAGTATCGGGCACACCATCGTCCGATGTTTTAAAAGAGGTATATTGTTTTCTCAAACTGATATCAGACGAAACACAATTTCCGGTATCATTGAGTAAATACTCTTTATTATTCATCTCTTCCTCGAACCCATTGCGGGTTTTTGCCATTGCGTCATTTTGACCACCGGCTCCAGATTGTCTTAAAGCGGGTTCGTTGTATCCATAGCAACGCCCATCATTTTTCGAAAGTTTTCTGTTATTATTCTGCGAATTAAATATGTTATCTACCGATATTTTCGAGTGTGCTTGAGATGTTGAACCATTTGTTTGTCTTTTGATTATATTATCTTCCGCATTTTCTTCGAGACGTGCTTTCTCTAAATTGTCCTTACTGGGTAAAGTTGGGACATTTTCGTCATATATTTCTCGTGTATGGCCCCGGTTATCATTTGACGCACTTTTGGCGTCACGAGTCTTTTGTTTCTGTGTGACCTTGTCTAGGCTGGTTCTCAGTTTATTCAAGTCTGCCAATACTTCATCAAAAACCGCAAAATCTGCTGTCATGGCTGGAGATATATCCATTACAAGAATACGAACAGGTTGAAGGTAAATTGCATTTGGTAAAGTAATTAACCCAATTTTTTTGTAAAGATATAAAATTTCTAGGAAATTGATAACAGGATAGGAGAATGTATTACGTTAGTAAACACGATGTGTTGAGAAAACGTTCTTCGCATATACAAGATGCTACATTACATCTGGGACTTTCCAAATACTTGAAAGTTTCTATACAATGATAATCGGAATTAAGTTCCGTTACGCAATATTTTTTATTCCTGCATATATGTATAAAAACGAAACCGCCTGATCAAATAATCGAGAAACGATTTGAAATATACCGAATCCTGAACTTGAAAGACGTTTGAATACAACCTACTTTCTACAATATTTATCTTTTCAGTTTGATATTGCCACCTGGCGCACTGATGTGCCAACTACAATGGCCAGATTTTCACAGCCATAACTTTTTACGGCAAGGTTTATATATCGCCAGTGTACACGTTTCGATGCTATTTTGCGCACTGAAACAGAAACTCCGGTTATAACAACGATATTTGTAAGCCTGCGCCAAAGTCTCGTTCATTATAAGTGTATACTTATATATTCTTCATGTAATAGCTCAGATTAAAATCTTATATATTCTTTCCGCCCTAATATACAAAGGAACATCATTGTTTAAAAGTCCGGAGTTACTGCGCCATCTTGTGTATAGTGATTTCGTGGACAGTTCGGTAGACTCAGCGATTCAGTGTTTGGAACGCTGTCGTTGAAAAGTTCGTATCTAGGATAGAAAAAAATCGAATCCAACAGGCTCTATTGACTGGACTGATCTGTCCAAGACCATCAACGTACCGAGCACTATATCGTCTATATAGGATCATAAAATATCTCCATCTCAGAACCATAAAAGATCTTAATCCTATTTGAAATTAGTACCTCCCGGCGTATGAGTACAAATATTTTTATGATCATAAGTGGGGAAAACCCATGAATGTTCATGAGTAGAGTAGAAAAAAAACTTTGCAAGTCGAATATCTCGACATACCGCATTGCCTAATCGTTAATGTTTCCAAAATCATGCATCCACCATCCTTTTCGCCAAAAACTCACATATTTTCCTTTGTTTTTATCGTAGGCTGTCTTAATTGTATTAGTTGTAATGAGTGTATTATTGTAATAGTTTTTACATTAAATTTGTCTATATTTTCACTTATATATATTTATTTTTTAGCTATTTTATGAATACTGTTTTCTTAAAAGAGCAAGGGTACTGTCAAATATGCTTCATTTGTCAATAAAAGTGCCTACAAACAAAGATCTCAACCCCATAGTCCGCGGTAACCAAAACTTAAATTTTACATACCGATCATAATAAATAAACGGTGACAGTAATATTTCGATATAACCAAAATAAAGAATTAAGCTAAAATAAGGTTTGACTTTGACTAAGATTATCCTATCATAGCGACCGCTTGCAATTCTCATCTCTTATATACTTTATTTTCACTCACTAGACAGCATTTTAAATGAAAACACAAAAAATTAAATGACGTAGGCTATTATGGAGTTTGAAAACAATATTTTCGTCTCTATTGAGGATGACCATCAAATTCAGTGTTTCTCAAACTTTTTAGGCCGCACCCCTCTTTCAAGAATTTTTCGAGTTTCGTGCCCCACCTCAAAAATAACCAGCTAACAATAAGCTACAAATACCAGATATAAAGGCGAAAGTAAATGGAACATAAATATCCAAAATTAGGGAATGTAAATATCCAAAATAAGGGAATGTAAATATCCAAAATAAGGCGGGCAAGATCAAATCTAACAAATAGTTTTAATTAGCTTTACGCCCCCTCAAAAATTGTCTACGCCCCCCTTGTGGGGCGCGCCCCACTTATGAGAACCACTGCTTTAAAGCAATATAAGTACCGATATTAATCTAACTGAAACTATACGGCCAGCCAGAAAACCTCGAAACTCGAATAATATATATATTAAGACCATTCATGCTTTTCTTTCATATTTACAAAACAAAAAAAAGGTATTACTTTACATGAAACAAAATCACTACTATTAAATACACCGCCGTATGCAATAAGTAAACTTGTATGGATGTTTCCCCGATCTTAACCTCAGAAAAATTCACCTTATGCTTTACCATTGCACAAATAATGTTCATAAGCATTATTCGCTGCAAAATTTCTAATCTAATGACCTATCATTTAAAACTAATGGTGGTAATTTTTTTATTACCATACTGAAAATTTTTTATTACCATACTCTATAAAGTCTTTCCGAGTGAAAAATGTCTTAGCACCGGTAATTTTCAGTTGTTACGTCACATTTGACTTACGTCGTCAGTGCTCGGGAAAATACCCAATACCATACCCCAAACAATTTAACTACTGATATTTCATCTTGCTCTGGAAACTCAATTTATATAACACCCATTTTCTTAACTGAATAAAGCAGACTAACGTTATGCAGAAAAGTACACCCGATACTCGAATCTGATACCATCTGCAATACGCATGATATGATACTAATGAGATCAACATTTCACAAACGAATGTCAGATTGAAATGCGATAATAGTGTTTTACTATTTAGTCTGTGGAATCACAAATTGTAATGTTATCGGCGTATCAAAATAGCTCTTGGATTGGCATGTGATTTTAGACTACATTATCAACTGCATAGCGATTATGGCTTAGTAGCCAACTTTAAGGACGAGTCTACCGGCATTCTGAAAGAGGAACTCCATTCTGACATAACTTTAGCAATTCTTTGTAAACAACATGTTAGCTACATATTTATTGTTGGAATTTGAAAGCAAGAGGCAGGCAGGTACATAAATCAAATATCCGAAATGCATTTGCGATGAATGTAACATCAAAATATGCGCCAGGGGGTAACCTAATACGGATCAAAATGTAAAAGCTAGGTAAACATGTACAAGTACTGAGCAAATTCTAACCTTAGTCGAATTTGTAAGTAAATAAATGCAAGCATACAACTACGCGTGCCTTACAAGTTGATTATACATAGCAAAAAGAAAAGATTTGTTGAACGTTGGATATGTCACTCTTTAGTATAATTTACAGTACATTCCACGCTAACAATGGCCCCTGCTGTAATTGGTACTTATTTCACGAGTTAGAGCATTTTTACAACGCAGAAGATGTTATATAAAGGTTGATAAAAGTAAGCATATCGCAACCGATTGTAAACTACCCATATGAAAACATTAGGTATGACGAATCATTCAAATACTAAAATTGATTTACCAGAGGTGCCCAAAATCCAGAAGTTTCGGTCTCAAAATTCCTAGTTATGATTAATTTGTTGTTTATCGCATTTAGCGCAGAGGCGGCATATAGAGACTAATAGAAAACGAAGTCGAATACCATTATGCGGAATAAATAGATACATTTCATATATCCTGAATCCACTTCGTAAGCCGCTTCGCAAAGGCTACCTCACGTAGCACAAACCATACCTTACCATTATCAACAGTTTTAAAAGCCAATTCTAGACTGCATTATCTCGAAGTCTGAGAGGCTTTCAGTATTTTCTTAAAAAATTATTATCAATTGATCATTTTCGCTTCGTAGAGTATGTCACGCGGAGCTAACGACTGACTGACTTCAATGCTTGTAAGTGATGGTAAGATGCGCCCTCCGCCAACTGTGGACAACTTTAAAATAGCTTTTCGAGCGATATTCGGGCTATGATTTTAACTGATTTAGATGTTTCTTTGCCAAAAACTTTTTCTAAGTATAAATTTCCAAATTTACTGAAAAGTGTTCGATAATTTTAAATTCCATTGGAATAATAATAGTGCGCCACGTACTGGCCAAATCTTCCTCAGTCACTTGGTGTTTGCCATCATGGGCAGTTTTGTTTCTGTCTCATTAGAAGGCATAGAAGTTAGTTTTGTTATTTAGCAGTTGCTCATATAACAGATGATGAGCATTGATATTGACTACGGAAAATATACTAATTTTACAAACCTAGAATTTAGTTGTGGAGTGACGTTCTTTAGAATTGGGATCACACTCAACAATTCCAATTGCATTTGAGAACTTGAAATATGAACACATTTGGGCACATTCAAAAGACATAAGGGTTTATGGATAAACCATTCTCAAACTCGTCTCAAATTTGTCAAAAGGACGAACAATCCTATGAAACCCCCGTTGAAATGCTGAAACCCCCGTTGAAATGATATACCAACTTTATGCCTAGTCAAGGCTACAAACTTGTGTAGGAACAGAATGACGTGATCATTGCACACATTCATACAACACACTTGACTTGTAACACAATTTTCATTCGTTCGCAAGAATACAGGTAATTTGAGTTGGTGACGTTACTAGCGACGCAGATAAAAATATTGATTTACCTTTCTTATCACTCAAGTAAATAAATAAAGTATATTTAATTACTATTTTGCTGGTTATACGTACAGTAATCATACATAATAGTTATGAACATATAAATCATCAATATTTACTCTGAAAGACGGTAAATCGATGACATTTTCTGTATTATGGTCTGTTACTGTTAGGAGTCGTTGCCTCCAATCTACGACTACATACAATAAGTAATATACAAACAGTGTTGTGTACGAAATTGTGTAGTTTAAAAAATATATGTAACAGATTTGGTCATAAACTAATCATGGGTAATATTTAACAATACTTTTAATGAGATTGTTCGAAACAGTTTTTGAGATGAAACACTTAAGCAACCCCAATTTAAAAAGGAATGATTTCAGAAGTCACGAACGAAGTGTGATTTACTACTTCAGAGATACCTGACTGGATACTATGTTATGACATTTTTATACCTTCTTTGCAATGCACAGAACATTCAAAAAATTCTTAAGATCGATTTTAAAAATTCCGAAAATGTCAATTTATATATTAATTCCAAAATATTAATTTGGCTTTTGCTACTATGTAGTATTGTAGACCAAAGAATATATGTTAGGCATTGCCGAACATTGTGATAGGCCATTAATAAACAGCGAATAATTGCAAAAGTTATAATAAAACACTGGTTTTTATTAACAGTGTTGAACTCAAACAACCCCTTAACAAGATTA